TAGTATTAAGAAGTTGAAGATAGAAAATTAAGATTTTTGATTTCTAGTGAAACAATGGCGAGAAAATGTACCTCCATGATTCGTAAATAAGGTTCAAGTGCATTCTTCATCCGTCAGCTGCCATTTCAAATCGCACCTTTGAGTTTGAGCGATTGATAGACAAATGACAACTGGGGTGCCGTTTGGCAGAGCTTGAAACATCCCTCTATATCAATAAGAGATGAAGGCGGCATGCATAACAACGTATAAAAACTATATTATGTAGAGTGTTAGCGTATGTGGCACCAGAGGGTTGTTGGTGGGAGCCCTGGTAGTTGATATTCGTCTTTACCTAAGTTTTTGCGCCATCAATAGTGGGGCAACAGAACCTGGATAAAGATTCTGAAAGTCGGCTGCTGGGTTAAGTCGTTTCAGTGATTTCGTTCGAGCAATTCCAGACGGATATCAGAGTAGAGCCTTATACTAAGGGCTACAAACCGCGTGCGGTTTTTCGTTCCACTACCTGCTCCCACTAACCTCCTTAGAAGCGGGGTACAGCTCACTATTACATAGGAAGAAGAAAAATATAGAGGCAACGGAAAAAATTCTGTAAAATCAGGCGTTAATTCGCTTTATCAACCACACGCACTGACCCTGAAATAAATCAAGACAAAACAATACAGAACATGAAATGATGAACTTAGTTTCACAGCAGTAATTCTTTATCTAGAGCTTCTAAAACTTTCACTGCTTTCATTTTCCTACGACCTTCACCTTATAAACGTTCCGTTTCGAACGAAATCGAAAACGTCCGCGCCTTCACGAAAACCACGCCAAGGCGAAACCGCGCGTCTTATGAACTTTTGTGTGTGTGTGTCATTATTTACGATCTCCGTCGCTGGCATGAGACGGCGGCGGTTAACGATCAGACGTGTAGGTTCGTGAGCGCTTTACCGATCGACGTAATGGAATAGCATGATGTGGGGCACGCGAGGGAGCCAGGTGTTGCTGCTCAATAACGTTGCTACGGCAACAAGTCGCCTTCGATTCGCTTTCGTTTGTCGACTCTCGATGACCTTGCGAGATTTCGTCGATTACCTCTCGCGCACTTTCCATGTCGTTTCTGTTGTTCAGCGTGCACTTGGCAACGAATGGCACTACGAGTATACTGCATAAACCTTGAACGTACTACATACCAGCAATTATTTTCGTAATCTGCATGTGAGCATGTGAAAAGTGATATAGGGGGCAGGGAGAGATAGGTGGGTGACATGAGGGAAAATGAAGGGGAGGGGGAGGTGAAGACCGAATTTTCACAAAATTACGCCACTGCGTAAGCGATATAGAAGTACTGTGGCAGCGTATTATGGGCTACTAAGAAGCATCTTTAACCTTATGGATAAGATACATATTTATACCTTTTATTTGCTACAACCATTTTGAAGCAGTTTAGTAATATATTACTAAACTGCTATAACCTGGATAAAGTTCTTATATCTATAAGAACCTTTATCTAGGTTCTGTTGTGCTACACATATATACAAATGTGTTCGACACATATATACAAATAAGTAAAATATATATTCTTATTAATAAATGTAAGTTTTATTTAAAAAGGGCGCATAAAAGTCGGGGTTACTAGCTATATTATATTACATTAGTTATTACAGTAACATATTAAACTATATAAGACAGTGTGGTAGTACAATAATACATCATTACAATGACTTTACCATAAATTAGGTCCTACAGATCACAATGTTACATAGTATTATATATACATAGGTTGCTTTACATTCATTTTTATTTACTTCCCCCAAAATTATAATTATTTGAATATTGTTGCTAAGCAATTTTTTTCAATTTTGAAAAGAACAACAACACAGTTCCAAGTTAAATATGTATTTAGAATTTTGAACAAATACCATTTGTTTCTCGTAGTTTTTTTCAGTTAACGGAACGAAAACCGCATATGAAAGTTACAGATATTTCCTTTCATTCAAATCTGAAGACAAATAATATTGATAGTTGACCACCTTCAATAATGTATTCACCAATGTGACTTCAACAAAAAATGAAGACTAAATTAAACAAAATCAATAATTTCACGGCAATATCTCGGCTCAGCCTCGGCTTTCCTGCGCATGGCCCCCTGCCTCCCTCCCCCCACCTATACGTCCGTCTATACTTCATTTCCTTTCGTTACCCTGTCAGGTCGCCTAGATTCCGACGGTACTCACGCCGATAGCATTAAGGTGATTGCTGGGAGGAGTCAGGAAGGGGCCCCAAGACGTCCGCCTGTCTCCTGTTGGCTTCCTCGTGGCTTCCTCGTGGAAGTGGCCCGCCACTCAGGGCATAGAGGAGGGACTTGCTCTCGGTGCATTGTGAGTCGCGCATTGTTTCGACATCGTAGGGGTATAGCTGCCCAGTATACAAGCCGGGCGTACTGATAACTACAAGTGGGTTTGCAACGAGGCAATGTTAGTGACCAATGATATAGTTAAGAAATACCTGGGATAACAAGTGTAAGAATAAAAAGCTTTACAAAATTAATTTATAGCCTTGAGTTACAGTCGTTGAGTAGGCATTTGTAATATGACAAGTTCCTGGGGTTGATTCTTTAACTTGTATTAATATACTACGGAACAAGAATTATGTTTATCAACATAGTATCATTCTTCATATTCCCTGAAAAAAATCCTGGTTGTCAAAATGATCAAAAACTTGCCAATATCTGATTTACATGAGTTTTAAATCAGCGCTAACGATTTTTCCTAAATGTATTTTAGATGAGAACAGCTGCGAACGAATTTCAAATACTTAATCCTTTGTAGGCGTAATTCTCACCGACAATCAGAAGAAGCAAAATTGGGCTGGACATAATTTGCGTTCATTTATATTGGGATTGATTGATTAAGTTTCCCAAGATGTCACCTGCTACAGACCTTAGTCCCATTTGTGTAGTGAATGTTTTATTCCGGGAGGCGGTGGTGCTCTTCCCCGACGGCGAAGGATGGCGAGATCTGGCGCCGATACGTCGGCTTGCGGGAATTTCCCTCAATCAGGTATCTCCCCTAGCGGAGCACCGCCCACCCAGGACACGTTCTATGCTCCGGACTGATCTCCTAACAAGTGGTAATGTAATGCTTGTAAGTGTGTGTGTGTGTGTGAACTTGTTTGACTTGAGGTCCATGGCCCGTTTCTTAGAGTTAACTGATATTTATCGCAGAAACGAAAGAAAATTACCGATAAAAGGAGGACGGTCGCAAGAATTCTCCTCCAGACTGTGGCGGAATTAGATATAGTTATGCAGCTAGTATCAAAGACCCGACTTCGTCGAGATTCGAACCCCACGACATCCCGGTTTTAATTGTGCCCCTGTCTTATCAAATCCCCATATCGGTACTAGATAATTTAAAAAAATACTTAAAAGGAAGACGCCATAATAAAATATCATGTTTTGTTAATATTCACATTTCTCACTGCTCAGAGCCAAGTACTCTGACACCCGGAGAGGATAAAGATATCATAGTTTGAACTGTTGACACAGTCTGCCTCGCATTCTGCTGCAACGCGTTGCTCTTGTTACTTCCATTACGCTCACTGCCATAACACAGAATACGCGACGCATGGCGTCAAGTGGTTTTATTGAAGTCAATTCTTTCGAGGGACCCGCGTACTTAGTATATTAACTTGATGGGGTTTCTTGTAATTTACGAGCTCAAAATTCTTTTCAGCATTCCCATTGTTCGGATACGTTATAATTGAATGGCCTTAACCACATACGTAGCTCTTTTAGTAGCATTTGATTTTGTTGCTTGCATATTCCAATATTACGTTGTAAAGTTATAGACTATAACTTATAGTCCAATATACGTTATAAAGATAATACATAAGTCTATAAGTCCAATTATGCGTTATAAAGGAGAAAATATGTCCTATTATAGTACGACGCACGGTTTCCATTAGTTCGTTTCTTCTGCAGGAAAGCTTTTAAATTTTCAGTTTCGTGTCGATTTTATTAAATTAATATACAATACGTTGTATTATTAAATACATTAATACTTTAGTTTTTGGGCCCTAAATGTCACTTCCTTCCCCTAAAAATCATTAAATACAGTTTTTGAGGTTTTGGAATCACGGTAAATGCATTAAAAAATACATTCGAGCGATCCAAGTAATGTTGCAAAAACAAATAAACCCGCCGGCGGCCTCAGGTGGCGACCATCGCCACTGCCTCTACTACCATCTCAGCGTTTGGTCCATGATGGAGCACTTTTCTCGGCTTGCGTCATCTTGGTTGGCCCACAGCCTCCTGGCCTTTCTTCGTGCCAACATTTCGAGTTTCTCAATATTAGACTGCAGTTGGTCAACTTCGAGGAAGTGCTTCACATCTGTGTATAAGACTAAAAAAATAAACTTTTCAACTTTAGAAAATTTAGAGATAAGGTACAAATTGGATTAGTGCCATAAAAGATTAGCGAACTAATCTATATCTAAAATCTTCGTATGGTTTCGTGTAAAGTACCCCCAAAAACTAAAAGATTTGTTTCAAATTGGCAGAACCTTGAATCGGGCCAGAATGATCGGAAAATATTTATTCTGGGAATTTACAATGAATCGTTTAGGCGCTAGTATTGTTCACAGACAGACGGATAGCCAGATGGACAGGGAAACTAAAGTTTTTAAAAAACACACTTTTTCGGCATGAAGGGATCACAAAATGTGTATTTCGGTGGACGTCGACTTCCCACAGCACAATATAACTTTCTCTATTCTACATGTCACTTGGTACATACGTACGTATACTAGAAGGTTAAAAAAATGCCGTTTTCGAGGTCCGATTTCATAACTTTCTCTTCTTTCGAAGTATTTCATAAGTCGCGACATTAAAAGCTATATCATTGAATCGTAATTTAGTACAATAAAGAAATATCTTTAATTTTTCATAAATATTCTTGTGTAATAGTACGCAAAAAATGTACAAGTTTAAGTTTAATTTTCTTTTGTTTGTTTTACAGACATTGTATGGCTGGGAATTGGTCTTTACCTTCTAGGTAAATTTGCCATTACAACTTCGTATGATGTCATGTATATGTATGCAGCTGAACTCTTCCCGACAAAACTCCGTCACTCTATGATATCAGCGTGTTCTATGCTAGGGGGCATAGGTGCTATTGCAGCTCCTGTATCACCTCTTCTGGTAAGCAACTATTGTAACAATATATGTTTGTCATAACAAGTCAAAATTGAACAATGATTGTTAAATTTATTTCATAAATGACTACCCCATTGTAAAAGGAAAACAATTTTAAAGTGTCTGTTCTTTTCATTATTTTACATAACAAATGTTCTATAACATCATTACCTTACATAACCTTATGTTCATATCGTTAAATTGAAATTGGAAGCAATTGGAACAATATAGAAACGTGGAGGGTTTATTTGAGGGGAGCTTATAATTATTTACGGTTTAGAGATACCCTGACAAAACCGTGGTTATGTTACGACCCCACAGACAATAAAAAATTAAAATTCGATCGAGTTATTATGAAATTGCTGCATTATTCAGTGTTATTAGGAAGATTTTTCACGACATAGCATGCAGGAATCGACAGCAATATCGATCTTATGCGCAGGTGCAAATGCGAAGTAAATCTCGAATTGCGCAGAAGATCGATATTGCTGTCGATTGCTATAACGCTTCGGGAAAGACATCGTGCATCTTTCCATCAGCTTCACCTCGCAAAAACCCCTATTGAAACATCTGACAGTATAAATCGATTGCCTTCGCGGCGCGCAACTCGATAAGCGACTGCTTGGCAAAAGTAGAATGCAATGTGCATAGTGATCAAAGATAGAAACGGACGTACGCGGATTAAAGGCGTACTAAAATTTAAAAAAATTCATGACAATAGTTGGGAGTCTGGGTCCATAAGGTCCAAGGTAACACCTAACAGAGCTAATCCTCAAGGAAGATTTGTTTTTAGAACTACCCTGTTTTGCCATTGGTGACCTTTATGTTGCCCCCACCTCCAAAAAAAGAACAAAGCAAGAAAACATTTTTTGTGTAGGAAGGCCGTTTCTCAAGTCAAGATCAGAGATGGCAAAATTTGTAGAAACAATTTTATATCAGAAATTTTGAAAAAAAAAAAAAAAACTTAAATTTACGAGGTGCGGATCCAGAGAGAAATTTTGGGAGGGGAAATTTAAAATGTTTTGGTCAATTGTGTCATTACAGATTTTGTAAAATGTCGCAGGCTACTCTCAGCTTGTGCTGCGATATGATTTTATTCAATATCATCATTACATTTCATTTTACTAACACCCTTCTACCCCTATGTAATGCAGTGTATTGCTTCCTCAAACTCCCCTCTTTAGCATTATGTAATTTTCGGAAGATCCCTAAGTTGTCTGATGCTGTAAAATTGGACAGTGTGAGAAACACTCCAAAAGTAGTTTGAGTTTTTAATTTTTTTAAATGATATTGTAGTGAAATAAAACACATATTTAAAATTAAGGTTTGAATTCTTCTTGTCTTTCATCTTTAATGTAAGAATGTACTCAAAACTTTTGTTTTGTGATTGCAGAATAAAACTGCAACATTTGAGTTAACCTCTATGTTTGATATTTGTTGTTGCAGAACACATATTTTCAAGGTTTGCATCTCATTCTCTTTGGAGGCTTTACTTTAGCATCTGCTATTATTACACTCTTCCTGCCAGAAACTAGAGGAGTAAAACTGCCAGACACAGTGGAAGAGGCAGAACAACTGGGAACTAGAAATTATGCCAACAGGGACTATCAGATGGAGGAGAGATTGGAATGAAGAAATGTCTGAATTCCATAAATATCTGAACCTAGTGATAAATCATTGTTGGCACATACCTTAAGTGCATTTAGAGCTCCAAGACAATCTACGGGTATTGTTGAAGAGAAGTGATATCACCACATCCAAAGATACTGCCCCAATTTTTTAAGTGTATTTTGTTAATGAAAAGTTGAAGCAAAGTTACTTACAACTGCATTCTTGCAGATCTTCACATGTTAATTTTTTTACTAATTTCTTAAATATAGGTTCACTACTTTTCTACAAAGGTGCTAATGTTCTGAAGACGGATGGTTGTGATATGCCGCTGTGCCAAAATATCTTTGATTCCACGAATACAAATCTAAAAATATAAATAAAAGGACTCAAGTTTTGTATATTATGTAGGTTTAAGGGTCAGTCAATGATGAGAAGACATATTACTTCACTTACATGAAAAAAATTATAAAGTGGTATTTTTAACTTAGTACTAAACAACTGTACAATTACAAAGTCACTGTTGTTCCCCCAAAAAATTGTGTGGACTTAAAAAATGCAAGTCATAATGAATTATCATAAATTTATGTAGATGCACAGTGTGCTATTGATGACTGGTCATACTAATGATACGAAACATATCATATACATTCTTCTTTTTCTCTATCAAGAGTAGAAATCTGTCAGAATTCTACTTTTGCAAAGAATTCATAGCAGAGCAAGTGAAAAGTTTTCATAATAAACATGTTTTATATCCTTCATAGTGAGATGCTGGGGGAGAATTCAATAATTGAAACATTTAGTTTCAATCAATTTTCTATGTTTCTGTCAGTTCTCTAAATTCCTGGAAATTAGCATCTGAATTAAGTTAAATACTTCCAATAATTGGAAGAATTCAATATCTAATTATTATAGATTGAAAGAAAATTTCTGAAAGAATGACCGGTAACTAGGTACAAAAATCCATTTAATGAAAACTTATTGTTCTACATTATATTACAATAATTTGTATGAACAGAGTCTTAATATACATAATGATTGTTTTTAATAATTGATTGACCCCTATAGACATACAGGAGAAATATTTACTAACTTTGCCTTTTCTTTTAAAGGTCCATTTCTAAATTTCTTTCATATTTAATATTATTTATGGTATTTTGTTATTTTTAAGACACAGTATCATCACTCCATTTGCTTTATTCAGAGAATTATTTTATTGTATAGACATCTGTAAAATAAGTTTCATAACAAGATGTGTGATTGTTTATAGTATTTACTTAATTTTTAAATATTCCCTTTCATTTAACAAATTCTCAAAAACATGATTGTTATTTTATCATAAACACAGTTTCACAGATAGAATATTATTGTACATTTTAATTTTAGACTTTTTTGAAGCAGAATTTATAAATATAAGAATTTACAATTTACATACTGACTGAATAAGCTCATTCATAGAAAAGATTTTGAAATGAAAAATAAAAATATTTTTCTTGAAACCAATGATGGCAGCTATTGGCTCTCATGGGGAGAGGAAGGATAAATTATGAAGTTTTCCAGGTCTAGTAGTTTTATTCTGATTTCATTTTTTAAAGACACATTCAATAAAACATAATATAGCATCCCAGGAAAGTCTCTCCACAGTGACACCTTGGTGATGAGTGTGCTCGCAAAAGATATTATGTTGGTAGCAGCTTGAAAACTTACATTGCATACTCACCACAATCACAGTAGGTACTTGAAGTATTGTCCTCTTCACTTGTTTCCCAGTGATTGTGTTGCTACCAACATAAATGCAATTTTTAATGAGACCCTGATTCAGCTCAGTGTGGAGAGACTTCCCAGTTGCACTGTATAATGATGTTCATTATTTGTTATACTGCATTAAGAAGCAAGCTGTAGTAAAAATATTTTGCTGACCTTTATTAGCTAAAACATCAACAGTGTTGAGGAAAGGAATATTAAGAAGGTCCTGATCTGGCAGATAGATGTACTCCATGAACTTGCGCTTTCATATCTAACAAAACATCCAATAAGCACTAGTGTCCCAACACTTCTGCTCTCATTATTCCTGGCACCGCCATCGCTTTCATGGCTGTTGTGATTTTCTAAATTTAAAATTATTGAATTCATGAAGAGCTGTGACATAACTTCCTCTTTGAATCTACTATGTGCACCTTGATAACTTCAAGAAATTAATTTTAAAAATTTGTTTTTTAAACTAAACTTTTGCAAATATACTATCTTTTAAATCTTCATTGATATTTCCCCATTATTTTATGTGCCAGAGATGCCCATGAAGGCAGCTTACTAATCTGCTTAATAGCAGTGTTGTGTAGGTATATAATTATACTAACTGAGCAGAGTGATCTTCATCAGAGGACACTAGTGTTGTCTAGGATGCTTGTATCAAAGGTATCAACTTTAATTGATATTAAGCATAATGTCTTAATGCTTAACATCAATTAAAGTTTTAGTTGTATGTTTTCTCTTATATTTCTATCTACGAAAAGTAACAACTCTTTGCTATGAAAACAAATATAACTTATTTTTTGATACTTCTAATGCTCAGTAATTAGGATTTTAAGACTCCACTCCGATGGACCAATAATATCTTATTAAGAGATAGAGAAGGTAGCCTACTCCAAAACTTTTTAATGATTGATGTAGGCCTATGTGACATGCTATATCTATTACTTGGAAGTACAAAAGATGTTTCCATCTACGCTGAATTACACATGATAAATTCACTGATGTTATTGGGAAGTGATACTTCAAAGTTTTGTTTTTGTGAATGATACATTGCTAAATAATTACATTTGTTAATGATATCTGAAGTATTTATTTCACTCAACTATTCTAATGTAATGAAATACTCATATGGTTCTGAGCAATTTACTCCTAATAAATCCCTACATGCTTACTTTAACTTATTATTTCAAAAAACTTTACACTTAACTAAACTTTACTAAACCACAACATGATAAATATATTTTTATAATGACACTAGCAGGTCCACCAAAAGAAAATCTTCACCCAAATACAAAGGCGTGTGAATTATATAAAATTTTACAGATATTTTATTTTTATACTTTTGCTTAATTCTTGCAAACAAATTACATTGATTTAGGTAAGTCACAATGCCTTGTCATTGTCATCATAGAAGCCTATTAATAAACTTAATAAACTAAATAACTAAAAACTAAATAACTTAATAAAAATTATAAATACAGTTTGACAATGTGAAGATACAATGTTCTGTTTCTGTAATTTTTGGAAGATAAAATTCAATGTATTGGTATCTTCATTTTCCCTTTATCTCTGACTGTGCTAATCTTCCTAATTCAGTTTATTTTTTCCTTTTAAAATTTCTTCAATTTCTCCAAACCATGTAATTCTGGGTCTTCCTCTTTTTCTCCTCCCCATAGGAAAGTGCTTGAAAACAATATTCTTCCAATTATTTCAAATCATTATACCAGTCCAGTTTTATAATTGTTGTATTATTTAAAAAATTGTTTGAATCTTGTCCCTTTCCTTTCTAACCACTACACTTCTACTTTTATCTAATTTTGAAAATCTTACTGATCTCCAAAAGTCCATTTCTAACACTAACAACTTTCACTGGTTTATTTTTTAATGTCTGTACTTCTGCTCCATATGTGACCACGCGCTGGATAAGAGTTTGAAATATTCTGAATTTGATATTACAAGATGTACACTTATCCCATAATATTCTGTTCAATACTTAAATCACTGGTCTCTTTTTATTTATTCCATATCTAATATCTTGTTCATTACTTGCATTTTTATTAATTTTGACACCTCATCCAAATCATTGCAAACCTCGAACTTTACCCTTGGTGTCTCTCGAGTAAAATGTTTTTTTCATATTTACCTTTAATCCCTACTTTTCAAAATCTTCTACAGGAGATCATTCACATAATTTAATACTTTTAAGTCACCTGTAAATTCTGGCAATGTCTTTGAAAGTAACAGTTCGAAATGTTCTTTCCATTTTTTTAATGGAAATCCTGGTAATCAAATTCTGTTGCTGACTTTGTTCTTAGTCTTTTTAAAATTCTCCTAGCTACTTAACATTTTTTGCCATCAATATGTCTGAACTTGACCCAATTTTTATTTTTATTTTGTTCCAATATTTATTCTGTAACTTTTCTCCTAACTAGAGCTTGAGTTTTCTTACATTTTATTTTATCTAGAATATTTCCTGTATTCATCCACTTCTCATACTTCATTCTTTTATCTTATATAACTTATCCTTGGCTCTTATACATGCATTTTCACTTACTCCATAAACCCCCAAAATAACAATCTTAACTCTGAATAAATCCATGTTCACAGTTATCATATTTTCATTGACTGCTTCCCAATACTTGAAATATTTTTAAAATTTTTTCTTCATCAATAATATGTTCTCTTGGCTTGTTTATTTTTGGGAACTCCACTTTAGAGATTTAAGTAGTTACCTTCTATGGTATTCCACTCCATTAACTTTTTTCTTAGTTTGTGTCATAACTATAATATCTTGTCTTAATGCTTTCAATATTCTTAAAAAATATCTGGTAACTTGTTACTAATGCCTTGCACATTCCACATAACTGTTAATAAGGTGCGCTTTTTTGTATGCTGATAACACCTTTATTTTGTTAAAAATTCTTGAATCTTGTAGCCTGAAACAATTTGACAATGACCAGGGAGCAAGCCTGATGCATCAAACTCCTTCCTGGATGTACAGGGACTTGAGATAATATATAAGAAAAGGAATATCATCTCTTTAGTTAAAAGTATTTGTGATCACATTCATTATCATCTGAAATAAAACTCAAATTAATTTCATATACATTCAAATTACTATAAAAAGTATGGGATATGTTGTGGTTCAAAAACCTATTCTGTGGAAGGTAGGATGGCAACAAAGTCAATGATAAACACTTTGAATACCATCCCATGAAACACTGTTAACTTCATAAAAAATAATGTTAAAAAGCGAGTATAAGTTCTGGTAAAGATTAAAAATATTATAATCATCAAAATGTCATTCTACCAAAATCAAAGAAAGGATGACAATATTCTGTAATTTCTAAAGCAGAATTATGACAGAAGCATGATGTCATTTGATATCAGATTATTGTACACAACTGTTAAAATTGATTGTTTTTGAGATTGTACTTAATATGCCAAATGTATATATTAATGTAGATGTTGAGAAAGATGATAATAAACACAATTATTTTATAACTTTCTTTATTTTTTATTGTAAAATCAATTAAGTTTTATATGCTAATGTAATAAATAGGGGGCGGATTTTAATGAAGGCATTTTTTGCATTTATCTATAATTTTGACTAATAAGTCATTATTTCCTTTTTCCCATAATTTGAAAAGTATTTTTGTTGATTTTATCAATTTCAATATTTTTTTAATGAGCCTTGCTTCAAATAATATTTATGACATGCAACAAATGTTCTCCATGGAATTCCAGAGTAGCCTATTTGATTTCTTTGTTCAGGAATTGTTATTTCAGCCATTGTGAGTATGTAATCTAAGCTTCCTGTGATGCTTATTCACGCCATTGTTGATTTGGTCGATTTTGCTATAAAGACATTGTCTGGTAAAGAACAGTCCAAACCAAAGGTTTGTAAGCTGAGTTTATTTAAATGAAAAGAAGAAGACTTGATACTTCAGGAATATATCCAACTGCTTAAGTTGATCATTGTAAAACTGTAATTGATGTTTTAGGTCATCAAAATCTGCATCCTAGTAATAAATGCGATATGTAAACAATATAAAAGATGTGAGGAAAATTCAGAACTAAAAGTATTTTATTGAAATTTCTGATAGAACATGCAGTAAGCCAAGATTAATTAATTTAATTGAGTTACTTTAAGAAACTGAAAATGCTAAAAGTTTAAAACAATTACCAGATAGCAATAAACAGTTGGAAAAGAAATCAAAAGAAAAACTGATTCAGGTCTTTAGGAGAAATTATAGTTTGACAGTTTTCTATTGATAGGAACTTTTTGAGTAACTATTTACTAATTGGCATTTGCAAACAAAGTTAATGAACAGCATTTACATACATAATGGCATAAACAAATTGGCTACACAAGTTAACATTGGTAAACTAAACATGTTTCTAATTTTAAATCAGAATTCGTAATAGACATTTCTTGGTAGGACATTATTTGCACAACACAAGATGTAAGATCATACAGAGGAATAACATGCACAAATTGTTTTTGGTTCAAAAATATTGTTTCTATTCAAGAAGAAAGAAGGTATTAAAAGACAATAAGAAGTTTTATAAATAAAGTTAATATCCATATTAAAAATAATTTTCCATTACAGCTAAGTAAACTAAGACATCAAGCAATTTTAAATAATGCTCCAGTTTCGATGAACCTAAACCTAAAGTTTTAGAGTCAATTTTCAATTCCAAAACATTGTTGATTATTTCCAATTTTGATTTTGAAATGATTCCAAATGTTTTTTTAAAAATAATATCACAGTGCATAATAATATCTGCAATAGAAAAATCACATCATTTTAATTGCATTACAGCCAGTTATTTATTTTCAATTTTTACTCAGGTATAGCTGTTATAATTATTATTAATGAATTTAAAAATTGTCTTCGCACTTTATTGGGGCTGCTCATGAACTATGTGACGCAAATGTGGAATATACTGAATACAACCCCCTTTCCCCCCTTAACACAGCCATAATATGTGCTTGAAACCACAAAAAAAAAATTATGCTTGCAACAATACACCCCATTCCCTCTTGTAAATGCAACAAGGAAAAATAAATTATAACACAATAGAAACAATGTGCTCATTTTATTTGTGTTTTGTATCAAAATGTATGATAATTAAATTCTGAATCTGTTGGTGCTGACTGGATCTACCGATAAGATTAACCACAAAAACAGTTGGGCCAAATTTTACTATTGATTCTGGTTGCGGGAACCCTATTTCAATGCGCCGCAACCATGTTTTTCTTTCAGTGATATATTATACCTCTATTTATAACTTTATATATAAATCATGTGCTGACCATTTTCGCGCGTTTCGCCCTGAGGAAGATCGCTGAATGGCGGCCGAAATATTGGCACCCACCCATTGTTGGCACCCACGTACATAATAATCTCTGTTGGTACCTCTGTTGGTTGGACAGCGTAGCTCTGATAGCCAAGTAACTACTTTAACCACTTCTTAAGATAATTTTAATACGCATATAGGTTTCAATAATTTATATACGTTTTTATCGCTTGTGAGCCAAATATGAGAATCCTCCAAGTCCTAAAAATAGCTAAAATGAGTTATGATCCTAAAGGGAGAAAATGTTAAATCGTGATTTCTTAAAAATATGCACAATTTTGATTTCATACAGAAAACTTTTTGTTTCATCGGAATATTACGGTGATCTGGACTCGGCATCTATTGACGACTACTACTCGGCATCTTTGCTGACTTTATTGCTACTAATTAGATTTACACTAATTTCCTGATGACAATTAGAAGGTGCATATCTTCAACTAAACTAACCGATGAAATCTCAGGGATTATGCGTGATGTTTTAAATGCTCTCGAAAATTTGATGTAATTCTTATTGTATGTATATACGAAGTAATACACATAGTATTGAGAAATAATTAGCAAAAATGGTCATTTTTCGACAGAAAAGGTGTAGAAAAAAAGGAAATATTTAAAATACTTTAAATATAGACGAAGAAGAAGGCAGTTTGGAACAAGGATAATTTCCTTTTCTTTGTTTCCGCTAGTGAATGCACCTTATTGAAACAAAATAAAAGCTCCTACCAAATGTTGAATTAGGATTCTTTTCATGTCAAGTATTTGACACTAAAAAAGTGTTTATTCATTATAACATTAGTTTTTGTTCATCCACGCCAGATGAATGACTTTTCCTTTGCAGGTTTTACACATTTGCCAACTGGGGGTTTATTGTCTGATGATTTGTTTGAAAAATTAGTCA